GAACGAGTTTGTGATGTGTAAAGACACCTAGATTCATACTTAGCTCTACTGACAGCCGTCTGCCTTTCCTGACCCCATTTCTACGTCTACCAAATGAAGGGGTGCATTGAATAATCTAGATGGGGTTTTGTTTTGGGGTTTAGGTTTTGTGTTAAGAGATGGGCTCTTACTGTGCTGTTTATGCTAACCCTGGGTTATTGGGCTCCAATCATCCTTCCTTAGCCACTCAGGAGAAACTACATGTGTGTTTCTGTCATTCAGCCCATCTTGGAAATGAATGTATGAGCAGCCACGTGATTTTTTAGGCACACCAGTGTTTAGTTCTTATTGACTTCCTACCTGTATAAAACATTTCAAAGTCTTCAGCTATGTATGTGAGAAAATTACATCTCCCTTTGTCATGCCATTTTAAATAATCCACATTCTTAAATTCCTGCTACATCAGCAAAACCACAGTGAGTTGAACCAGCTGGCCCTGGGCCCTCCTATGTCAGCTGAGACTCACCCACAAGGTTCATCCATCTTCCCCAAATCTTTAGAGTCCCAGCAAAGAGCTAAACTGAAGCCTCCTTAGGTCTCAGGAACTTGAAGAAGCAGCTAAAGTCAGGCTTGGGAAGCGGGTAAGAAATACAAGCAACAGAACGGAAATTCCCATCAAATGGCAGAGGATGCAGCACTTTGCTGCCAGATCGGCAACAGATGGTAAACCCAAGTGTGCGCACCAGCTAAACCAAGTGAGTGTGTGGTGTGTCCTGTAGGTTGTCCTGCCACCAGATGTCTGCCACCCCTGTCAAACCGATGAAGTGCATGGGTTCTGCTCCTGGCCAGGGCAGGGCCTAACCTGAGCTTGGCTGCCTTCTCTCCTCTCGCTGCCCATGCTGGCTTTCCTCTTACTGCTGTGCTATTTTGATTATAGAAGGAATTGGTTCAGTGAAAATCTGAAAGCAAGGGCCTGGAGTGTAGCTCTTGTAAGTCACATGCTTAGCACTCATGAGGTTCTAGATTCAATCTCCTCCCCTGCCCAAGAAAAACTGAAAACAAAAGTTAAACAGTCTATAAATCTCACATTGTCTTTTAACAACAAAAAAAATCTATATAGACTTTAGGATATTTTCCCTGTGTTTTTTATACCCTTTGATATAATTGGGATTACACTGAATTTATGTGACAGGATATAGACAGCATCAATCACGTGTGGGTATTTAAATGTTTAATACATTAGGGCCTACGAGATGGCGCAAGAGGTGAAGAACTTGCCGTACAAGCTGATGACCTAAGTTCAAATCTCAGAGCCCATGGTGGAAGGAGAGAGTGAGTCCTGGAAGTTGTCCTCTAACTTCTCCACGCACACCACCACCAGCACGTGGGTGCACAAACACACAGTCACGATAATAACAATACATTAAGATTATGGGGGCTGGAGAGATGGCTCAGAGGTTAAGAGCACTGGCTGCTCTTCCAAAGGTCCTGAGTTCAATTCCCAGCAACCACATAGTGGTTCACAACCATCTGTAATGAGGTCTGGTGCCCTCTTCTGGCCTGCAGACATACATGCAGACAGAATACTGTATACATAATGAATGAATAAATAAACATTTAAAAAAAAAGATTATGGGCTGGAGAGATGGATCAGTGGTTAAGAGCACTGGCTGCTCTTCCAGAAGACCCAGGTTCAATTCCCAGTATCCATATGGCAGCTCCAAGCTGTCTGTAACTCCAGTTCTAGGGCCTCTGATTTCCATATACAGACATACCTATAGACAAAACACCAATGTATATAAAATAAAAATAATTTTTTTAAAAAATTGACACATTAAAATTATGGGCTGGTGGGCAAAGACTTTCCAAGATGGAAGAACCGAGTAGATCTCTGGAACCTATAGTGATATTCTGTTTTAACAAATAAAGCTTGCTTGAAGATCAGACTACAAAGCTAAGCCACTAGTTAGCCATAGAGGCCAGGCAGCAGTGGCACAAACCTTTAATCCCAGCGCTCGGAGATAGAGGCAGAGGGAGCTCTGTGAGTTCAAGGCTATCCTGGGCTACACAAGATTCAGTCTGTCTAAAAGAGAAACAGAGCTCACACAAAGGTGATCCCAGCACTTGGGATCATACACCTTTAATCCCAGCACTAGGGAGGTGGAGACAGGAGTGATATGGCTGGGTGGAGAGAGGAATGTAAGGCAGAAAGAGGCAGTAACTCGGGAAGTCTGAGGTTTGGTGGAGACAAATGGAGTCTGGAGACAAATGAGGTCTAAGGATAGGAACGTCCCTTCAGTCTGAGCATTGGTAGAGGTGAAAGAACTCTAGTGGTGCGACTGGAGATGGCTCAGTGGTTAAGAACACTGACTCCTCTTCTTAGAGGAGGTTTGATTCCCAGCACCCACATGGTTGCTCACAACTGTCTGTAATTCTAAGATCTGACATGCACAGACATATATGCAGGCAAAACACCAATACACATAAATCATTAAAAAAGAAAGAACTCTAGTGGCTAGCCTCCCTGTGTCTCTGCTTCAGCATTAGCCCCTATATTTGACTCTGGATTTTATTATTAATACCAGAATTTGTGCTATAAGAGCCAAGGTTTTTTTTAACTTAATACATTAAGATGCTGGGAGCCAGGCATGGTAGCATATGTCAGTTTTTTGGTTTGGTTTGTTTTGTTTTCTGTATCTCTGGCTGCCCTGGCTGGTCTTGAACTCACAGAGATCCTCCTGCCTCTGCCTCCCAAGTGCTGAGATTAAAGGCATTTGCCACCAAAACTGGCTGAGTGCATGTTTTTAATTCCAGCACTCGGGAGGCAGATACAGGCTAATCTCTATGAGTTTCAGGCCAGCCTGATCTACACAAGTTCCAGGCAAGCCACGGCTACATAGTGAGACCCCATTTTGAAATAAAAGTTTGGGCCAGGCGGTGGTGGCACACATCTTTAATCCCAGCACTTGGGAGGCAGAGACGGGCAAATCTCTGTGAGTCCGAGGCCAATCTGGTCTACAGAGTGAGTTCTAGGATAGGCTCCAACGCCACACAAAGAAATCCTGTCTCATAAAACAAACAGGAAGGAAGGGAGGGAGGAAAAAGAAGAAGAAATAAAATTCTGCAGGAATGGAGCTCAGTTGAGTTGGTGCCTGCACAGAGCCCTAGTTAGGTTCTCAGCATCACATAAAGCCAGGTATGGTGGTGCATGCCTGTGATCCCAGTACTCAGGGGCAGGGAATGGGAAAAGCAGTTAGATAAAAAAAAAAAAAATTAAGGCTGCATAGTGAGTTTAAAGCTGGCATGGGACACTTGAGGCTGTGTAAACAAAACAAGTCCCATCCCTCCAGCCTGTAGTTTTAATGTATTATATTTTTAACATAAAAACAATGTATCATTGGGGGCAGTACCTTAGTGGCATGGCACTGGCCTAACACTTATTAGTAAGGAAGCTGTGGGTTCAGTCCTCAACACACACACACACACACACACACACACACACACACACACACACGTGGAAATTTAAAATGTAGTTCCTCAAAAGCACTTGAAGTCAGAGACTAAAAGTGCTCAGTAGTTGCATGCGCTCAGTGGTTGCATGTGCTCAGTGACTGGTGGTGGGTGGAACATTGGAGCATTGCAGTCACTGCAACATTCTATCAGACTGCATCTCTGTATGTCCTTTGGACGGTCTTGCTTTGTTGTGATGCTGGGGATCCATCGCAGCTTCTCAAGCATGCTAAGCAAGTGTTCTGCCTCTGTGCTACATCTCCAACTCTGTGGGTTTGGTTTTTTGTTTTGTTTTGTTTTTGTTTTCCCAGACAGGGTTAGCCCTGGCTGTCCTGGAACTCACTCTGTAGACCAGGCTGGCCTCGAACTCACAGAGATCCACCTGCTTCTGCCTCTTGAGTACTGGGATTAAAGGCATGTGCCATCACTACCCAGTGAAAGTGTGTATTTTCAAGACTTTGAAATAGAATGTCATGCTACCCTGAATGTCCCCAATCTCATCTGAAATAGAATGCTTAGTTCTTTCTGAGAAGGACCCCTTCCCTGAGCATACATGGTCCTCAGTGCTTATATCAACCCCTGATACAAAAAAAAAAAAAAAAAACCCTTGTCTGTCTGTCTCTGAGTGCACATCCCATAATTTGGGTAAGACCTACAATGATTTAGGAAGATAAAGACCATCCCATGATCATACCAGACTGTACAGTTTTGAGTTCCAGAAATTTCTACTACATAAGGCCCAGGTCTGTGTCTTTACAGAAGGTATCTGAACAGGGTGGGGACCCCTCACCAGCTTGATTGTGTGGCCCATTGCCCATATCATACCCCAGATGTGAGTCCATTCCACCTTGACTGGAGGTCAGAGAGTTTGAGTTTGTTTTGCTCTTTCAAAGATGGTGACAAGTGGCTACAAAGCAAGAGGTCCTGACCTAGAGTGGTTAATTAGTATTTTGAGTATAGAGGTGTATCAGCTCCACCTTGATCAAAGGTCAGAGATGCTCTGTTTATTCCTTTTATCATATTAATGAAGTCACTTGTCTTCCCCTCCCCTTTTGGATTGGGGTATAAAAACGTGGAAAATTAATGGGGTGGTTCAGTATTCACTGAATTTCCCTCCTGATTCTATTCTGTGTTTTGTCTCTTATTTCTCTCTTGGTGTGGGCCAATTGTCTACATTCTGTCAATTATGTTTTAAATAAATGCTGATTGGCCAGTAGCCAGGCAGGAAGTATAGGTGGGGCAACCAGACACGAAGTAGAGGCAGGTCAATGAGAACAGGAGAATTCTGGGAAGGAGGAAGTCCATTCCTTTCCAGTCCTGACCCATCCACTGAAGAAGCAGGATGTGATTGCCTCGCTGAAAAAGGTACTGAGCCATATGGCTAACATAGATAAGAATAATGGGTTAATATAAGTTATAAGAGTTAATAAGAAGCCTGAGCTAATGGACAAATCAGTTTATCATTAATATAGACCTCTGTGTGATTTCTTTGGGGCTAAGCAGCTGTGGGACCTGATGGATGGACAGAAACCTAGACAACATTCTCTTATCTGTTTTTGTTGGGGTTTTTTTTGTTTTTTTTTTGTTTTTCTTAATAATTCTAATGCTCACACTCCTACATTAGAATTTGTGAATCCAGTCGTATATGGCTCAGCTTTTCTGAACCTCATTTTTCTTTTACACACACACACACACACAGTGGGACTCAGGTCCCTGGACTCTGGAAAGATAGTCGCTTCCTATGGCAGACCAGAGAGGACCCCTGTACACTCTCTGAGCTCCTTTTACAAGGCTGCCTCCTCAGGAAGGCCCTGGTGTTCCTAGCAGACCAATGGAAAAGAATGAGTATCTCTGGTTCCTCCAGAAGGGTCTATCTCCTTGTACCTAGACCTCATATTCAAAGAGCTGCCACTCTGTAGAATCTGCTACCGGACATTCCTTTAATCAAACATTGGGTGTTACTTTAGGAACTTGCTAGATACCAGACGTGGTGATGATGCATGCCTTTAATCCCAGCACTCAAGAGGAAGAAGCAGGCAGATCTCTATGAATTTGAAATCTACAGAGTGAGTTCCAGAACAGCCAAAGATACACAAAGAATCCCTGTCTTGAAAAACAGAAACAACAACAAAAAGAACTTGCTAAGCATCAAGGGTGCCTCTGATGTCCACATTAATCTCCCCTCCAGTCAGCCCATCAGTAGACATGGGCATCCTTCCAGCACAGAAGAAGTAGAATGCTCTGAGCCCCACCAGGCAGTGTGAAAACAGAGAAACTGAGTCAAATATGATTCTGATAGCGTTGGCATTTAACTGAGTGCTTCCTATTGCCACGCATAGCCTGTCCTATGGCCTAGTGCTTCCTAGTGAAGCAAATACTGCATTTATTTGGACCTGGGCCACTATGTCTCCTGTCATCACAGAGTACGATAGGAATGGTACCCCCTGCAGTGGCAAGAGACCTGAGTGACTTATGCAGAGCTCATTTGACAGATGGAGAAGAAAATAGCCTTTGAAAGTAAGATACCATGCAGAAGTTCACACAGGGACCAAAACCCCAGCCAGCCCCACCCCATCCTGATACTGGAGGTCAAGACTGACCTGGGTTCTTGCCAAAACACAACCCTTGCTCCCTATATCCAGCTCCTTCCTGTTTTCACCAAGAGGTCTCACTCATTGGGAGTATCAAGACTTTCCCAGTGCCCTGTCCCCTTCCTGGAGAAGACTCTTGGCCTTGAGCAACATCACAGAGCCTCTGAAGGAGGTGCTTGACGATCTGCCCTCACTGAGAACATGTCCCTGGCTTTGAGGCCTGGCACTGATGACCCCGATGTGGCAGCTGCTGATTTGGGAGCCTTAATTATTTAGAGAATGCATACTATTCAGCCCATTGGCTCTGTTTTGAGTTCAGAAGCGAAATGCCCTGGGGATTGTTTCCAGTGAAGAACAAGATTCCACTTGTCACAGAGACTAAAGATGAGAGCTTGGTCCTGGAAGGGACTGCAGTCACGGGGCGTTTGCAAACATTCTAGAAGAGTAGGAGGCCAGCAGACTGCTTTGGGGGTCGGTCCCTGCTCAGCTGTCCCGGGAAAGCGCTTCTCTTGCCTTCTTAGAGGTAAGGAAGGTTGGCGTGTGAGTTCATTGTGGTTCATGGTTCAGCTGCACCCTCTCTTAGTGTCGGCCCTGGGGGAGACCCTTAGCAGAGGCTCCAGATGATTGGTGAGGATTCCCAAGGCCGCTTGTGGTTCTTTTTTTTTTTAAATTGCAGACTTTTTTATTTATTTGTTTTAATTTTATGTGCACCTGTGTTTTGCCATGGATGTCGGGTCCCTGGAACTGGAATTATAGACAGTTGTGGTGCTGGGAATTGAACCCAGGTCCTCTGGAAGAGCAGTCAGTGTTCTTAACCACTGAGCCATCTCTCCAGCCTCAAGCTTGCAGTTCTTATAAATCAGTAATTGTATTCCTCTCAAAGCATGTTCAAAATTAGCTGGGCGTGATGGTACACCTCTGTGATTCCAGAACTCAGGAGATGGAGATGAGACCCATTAGGGATTTGGTTTAAGATAATCCTCAACTACATCGCAAGTGTGAAGCCAGTTCCAGAGAATCAGACATCATCTTCTGACCTTCATGGGTACCAGCCTCACACATGGTGTGCACACATACATGCAAACAAAACACTTGCATGTGTAAAAGAGCTTTTCTGCTTTGTTATTTTTTTTTCCAAACCAGTCACACTTGGAGAGGCTGGAGAGCTAGCTCAGCAAGTAAGAGTATATACTGCTCTTGCAGAGGACCTGAGTTGTGTATGTGTTCAAACATAAGACACACACACACACACACACACACACACACACGCTCGCAACCATCACCACTGCCCATTTCCAGATATCTTCATCATCCTGATCAGAAGCCCTGAGCTCACTGAACAGTAACCACCTCCTCCCTTCAGCTCCTGGTACCCACTGTGCGCTTTCTGAATCTCTGTCTCCCTGCGAGAATGACATCATACCCTATTTGTCTTTGGTTGTGCTTTGCCTGTTTCACTTAGCATCATGTTTTCTGGTGTAATTTTTAAAAGATTTAGTTTTTTTGCTGGGCAGTGGTGGCACACACCTTAAATCTCAGCACTCAAGAGGCAGAAGTAGGTAAATCTCTGAGTTCGAGGACATCCTGGTTTACAGAGTTCCGGGACAGCCAGAGCTACATAGAGAAACACATTCTTGAAAAAACAGAAAACAAAACAAAACAAAAGCAGCAACAAAAGTTTTAGTAACGTGTGTGTGAGTACAGGGCTCTGCAGAGGTGCTGGGTCCTCTGAGGCTGAATGGCTGTGAGCAGCTGGTGTGGGCTCTGGGGACTGCACACAGTTCCTCAGGTTTTCCTAGCAGGTAGCTTACTAAATGAGCCGCTCTCCAGCTTTTAAGGTCACTTGGTCACTTCTTTCTTATTTATTTATTTATTGGTCTTTTTCGAGACAGGGTTTCTCTGTAGCTTTGGAGCCCGTCCTGGAACTAGCTCTATATACCAGGCTGGCCTCAAACTCACAGGAACTCTCAGAGATCCACCTACCTCTGCCTCCAGAGTGTTGGGTTTTAAGGTGTGTGCCCACCGCTCGGCCACACAGATTTTAAATGTGGTTCTTTTTTGGTTTTTTTGGGGGGGGTTGTTTTTGGGGTTTTTTTTGTTTGTTTGTTTTTTGAGACAGGGTTTCTCCGTAGCTTTGGAGCCTGTCCTGGAACTAGCTCTTGTAGACCAGGCTGGTCTTGAACTCAGAGATCCGCCTGCCTCTGCCTCCCGAGTGCTGGGATTAAAGGCGTGTGACACCACCGCCTGGCTTGAATGTGTTTAATGTCACTAAAATGTATGTATAATACTGATGAAAATGATTAATTTTGAATTATTTATATCTTGCCATAATTTAAAGTGTTTACTGCAAAAAAAGCATAAATAATAAGCAAACTCAAGAATAGTTAGAAAATAGGAGCAGGAGAGATGGCTCATTTGTTAAGGGCACTTGCTTTTCTTCCAGAGGACCCGAGTTCCCAGCACCCACATCAGGTGTCTCTCAGCATCAGCTCCAAGTATTCTTTTTCATAAATAAAAAATTAAGAATTAGAAAATAAAAAAGTTATCATTAGGACCTGGAGAGGTGGCTCAGTGGTTAGAGGCATTTATTGCTCTTGTAGAGTAGCAGGATTCAGTTCCCAGCACCCACATAATATTTACAGTCACCCCTAATTCCAGTTCCAGGAGACTCAATACCTTCTGCTGAATTCCGTGGGTACCAGGGACACATTTGGTGCACATATACATACAGGCAAAACACTCACCAACATAAAAAAATTTTTAAGAACTTAAAGAAACTTAAAAAATAGTTACAGAGTCAGGTAGTGGTGGCGCATACCTTTAATGCCAGCACTCAGGAGGCAGAGGCAGGAGGATCTCTGTGTATTTGAGGCCAGGCTGGTCTACAGAGTGAGTTTCAACACAGTTAGGACTGTTACACAGAGAAACCCTGTCTTGGAAAAAAAAGTAGTTATAGTTACCCAAACTATTTTCCATCCCAATAAAAATTAAATAAAACAAACAAAACCAAACACACAAAATACAAGCACGATGTCATGTGCACTTAATCCCAGCACCTGGGAGGAAAGAAGCTGGAGGTATCCAAGTTCAAGGCCAGTGTGGTTTCCAGAGCAACTCTAGGACAGTCAGGTTTACACAGAAAAACCCTGCCTCAGAAATAAAATAATCTTGCCTGTGAAAACTGAGAAAAGACAAAGAGACCACCTCTCTGAGCTAACATGTGCCAACCGCCCATCCCCACCTTCAACATAAAACCACAGTCGGTATTTTCTCCTCTCTCTTCCCACCATTTTCCCAGCACCGAAGCATGACATCAATGTCAATTTTATGCAGCTATGGGAGCCCATTTCCTTTTTTTTGTTGTTGTTACAGAAAAGTGTCAGCATCTATTCCCACTGTGCCTTATTCTGTTCTCAGATTCTGCCCTCTGAGGGTTCCCATTGTTGGAACAGGGTCCATGATCGACGCTGTGTGAGATTTCTGAGCCTGCGAGAAAACTCCAAGTAAACAAGAATCTTATGACCTCTGCTCCTTCATCACATGGGTTGTTTTTTGGATGTGCGTTCATGCCCCTCCCAGGGGTGGCAGATGGGAGTGAGTTAACTTCAGATTATTCAATGCGCTGGCCATTGTTTGTTTATATGCCTCTGTGAAAAAAACATGTTTCTGCCTTGTGCGACTTGTCTTGTGACTGAAACTCGGGTGATTCTTCAGAGTATAAACTGTCCGATGCTCTGAATAAAGCTGGCTATTGCATGAGACTTCAGTCTACCTTATTTTCAGGCCCCCGCTCTCCCAGGCCGCCAGTGGGAGCAGTAACCACCCACGAGCTATTTAATGGATGTCCGTTATTGAAGATGTAAGTCCTAAGATTTCCATGTTTATACATAGCCTGCGTTTCCTTGACTACTTGTGAGAATTTTTCAAATGTAAATGAATTTGGGTGTCAAAGGAGAATCTGTTGCTACAGGAACTTGGGCCTCCTGTCAGATGACTCCAGCCCTTTCTTTTGTAGCTGTTTGCGTTAGCAGTGAGCGATGTCACCCCGAGCGAAGGGTTTCTGCACTGGAAGGAGTTCAGGCATGCTGCCTAGTGAGGGGGAAAGAGCTCAACGGAGCCATTCAAGCCCCTTAGTCAGGGAATGGTCTGTATCTCGGACAGGTTTTCTGGGTGTACATGGGTGACTACTGAGGATTGTCTTTACCTCCGAGAACAGCAAAGACAGTGCCTGAGCCTCTCTGTGGTCAGTTGACTGTGACCCTAGATTCATCCTCTCCCTAATCTGGAATCTCTTACCTAAGAAGGCAAAAGGCACTTTGTATATGTGACTAAGGAGTTTGAGGTGAAGAGAATTTCCTGAGTTATTAGGTGAGTTCAGTGAAAGCCAACCACTGATGAAAATGGCTAGTTTTTGGTTATTTGTATTTTGCCATAATTTAAAATGTGTTTACTGGGGCTGGAGAGATGGCTCAGTGGTTAAGAGCACTGACTGTTCTTCCAGAGGACTCGGGTTCAATTCCCAGCATCCACATGGCAGCTCACAACTGTCTGTAACTCCAAGATCTGACACCCTCACACAGACATACATACAAGAAAAAAAGTGTTTACTGTAAAAAAAAAAAACCCCAGCATAAATAATAAATGAACTCAAGAAAGTTATAAACTAGGAGCTAGAGAGATGGCTCAGGGTTTAGAGCGCTTGCTGTTCTTCCAGAGAGCCTGAACTCCCAGCTCTAATAATACGGAGTTGCGAGAACAGACACAAGGAATAGAGCGGTGTGGCTGTACCAGCAGTTATAGTGCTGGCTGTGATCCCAGCACTCAGGAGGCAGGAGCAGGAAGATCAGGAGTTCAGGGTCATCCTTAGCTGTGTAGCAAGTTCAGGGCCAGCCTCGGATACAAGAAACCCTGTCTCAAGCAACATTCATGGGCCCACATGATAAAATGAATGCTTGAAATGTATGTGGAGGCAAATTCTCTCATATGGAAAGTAAATTCCGCGTACTTTAAATAGGGACTCCTAAGGGAGGCAGAGCGCCACCCGCCGTCTCCAAGCAAGGTCTGTGTGCACTGACTTCCTTCTGAAAAGCCGTGGTGGCAGGGAGAGTTTCATAGTGGCGGAACCCACAAGGACGGCCTCAGTCAAGAGGACAAAGTCCACTATCAACAGCCGTGAGCCATGCTGATGGTATGTGCCCTTGAGATGATGTAATAAGACTGGCATTTTACCTGTGTGGTTTCCTCACCAAAAACCCCAAAGTAATCCTGAGAAAAATCGTCAAATGAATACAGAATGAGGGGCATTTAATAAACTCCCTGACCAATCCACCTCAAAAATGTCAAGGTCATAAAACAAATGTCACATACACACACACACACACACACACACACACAAAAGTCACAGTCTGGAGGACTCAGAAAGCCTGACAAGTATGATGTGGGGTCCTGGATGGAGTCCTAGAACAGAAAAGAACAATGGGGTAGACTAAGATCTGAAGAAAGCGTGAACTTTGGTTAATAACATTACAATAAGCAACACAGGCTTACTGATGCTGGCAAAGTACCATGCTGAGGTAAAACTGCCACCGTGCCTAAAAAGGGCCTTCCAAGACTCGCTGCATTCTCTGGGGCCAGAGACTTCTGGACCCCGGAAGTCCTCGGATAAGAGTGGGAGGGGAATAAAGAAGCCACCGCCCGGGTCTCTGTCCCTAGAGATGTGGCAAGGCCCAGGGAACAAAAGTGTCTGGACAGCTGAGTATGCTACCTCCTCCCTGTGATCCGGAGGGAGTGTCCTCCTCTGAGGATCCTGGTCAGCCCTCAAGGACCCTCTCTGTCGTGGCGCCTTCGTCAGGCAGTCCAGCTGTTTCTGGTCTGGACATCCCCACAGGCTGTTCTCTGAAGAACTTGGTGAGTCATTCTGGAATCATTTGTCTGCAAGGCTTGAGCGAGGGAAGAACAGCCATGGCCTCTAGGGATTCAGGATAGTCGGATCCCCGAGGGAGCCCCCTCTAGTTCTTCACACCCCATATCCAAGTCCCTGATCTCTGCCAGAACAAACGAGGGATCTGCCAGAGAGCCTTTCCCCTGTTTGCTGTGCGCCACGCTGGAGGCAGGGACTAGCTGTCTTTCAAAGCCCGACCCGACGGGTGCTGCTATCCCAAGTCCCCATTTCCCTGCACCCTTAGTGTGAAAGGGGTATTTTACCCATTGCTACCCGACTTCTGGCCTAGACACCTAGAATAGACAGAAGGGAGAGGAGCCAGAAGTCTGCGCAATTCCCCGGCCAAAGAAAAAGAAAAGGAAGGAGGTGAGGCGGAGCCTGGGTTGGAGGGGCGGGGCTCCGAGACCTCGGGCGCGTGTGGCCTGGAGCCCAGGCGCCAGGCTGAGCTGCTGTTCTCGGCTCAGAAGCCCGGGTGCCAGCTGGGCGCGGGCGGGTGGGCACGGGTAGGGCCATGTGCCAGACACACACAGAATGCCCTTTGAGGAGATGGCAGCTGTCGGCCCAGGCACCCCTCTGGTTGCTGTGGCCTTGTCTGCCCTCTCTTAGCAATACCTTACACAGCACTGGGAACAGCTACCCAACAGGTACAGGGGAACCCTATTCAAAGCAGAGAAGGATCTCATCAAACCTAGAACTAGGACCTGGGTCTGGTGGCTGTCCTGATGGCCCCTTTCCCGAATATTTCTCCTCATTGTTGGGTCCGTCCTCAGAATCTACTTAGGGGTTAAGGGAACTAAGGTTGCCTCCACTTTACGGGGCGGGGGGGGGGGGGGTTTGGGGGATCCACCCCTAAGTCTCTAGGGAAGTCAGATACCGACCCTCGCGTCTTCCTCCTATCACTCGGGCCTCCAACCACTGTACACTTGGAAGACAATGGCGCTTGTCCCTGGGACTGCAGAGATGATTCGGTGGTTAAAGGTCCTTTCTTGCAGAGAGCCCAGGTTTGGTTCCCGGCACCCTCATGGCTACTGACATTTTCTGTAACTCCAGTTCCAGGGGATCCCATGCCCTTTTCAGACCTCTGCGGGCACCAGGCAAACACATGGTGTACATACATGGATGCACAAACACACACTCAGATAAAAAAAAAGATAAACCAGATAAAGAGGAGGAGAAAGACGTGGAGGAAGGAAGAGGAAAAAGAGAAAAGGAGAAGGAGGAGGAGGTGGGAAAGAAGGAGGAGGAACAGCCACAGCCTTCTTGTCTCTAGGTACAAAAACTACAAATTTCCTAGCGGGCTAGCTGAAGCTCTCGTCCCCTAGGTCCTCTCAAAAGCGAACTTGGCTGCCAATCTGCTTTTTGGAACAGGCTGTATACCTGCTCCCTCGGGAAGGCGGTAGGTTGACCTCCTAGACAATGCCCACGGAGTTCATCTCCCACTTGGTGTAGGTATGCGCTCACCAACCCACCTACCCAGGGAACAGTAGCCACTAACTACCCAGGGTTTGGTTTGCCCAGGAAGAGATTCCCGTGGAGCAGTGATGGGCTGTACGTGGCTGGGCAGCGGAACGGACCACTGGTTCTTAGCCTTTGGGTAGCTGATGGATCTGAGTCTCAGTGCACTGAGAGAAAGGTGAAAACAGCAAGGGTGTGGCAGGCAGTTTGAAGATCAGTGTTCACGTGCCCACTGCTTGCAGGTGCATGTTTGGGCACCGTGTCAGCTGTGAAACAGCTGAAGAAATTAGGGGTGATTAACATGGGGGAAAGGAAAGCTCAGCTCTCCGAAGGACTGCCTGCCTTCCAGTCTTGGGCAGGGGGGCCCACTATGCGACCCTCCATAAAAGTCACTCCAAATTTCTCTTTCAGGAGGACCCAAGGTTAAGTCAGACTGTTTGCCCAGATCTGGAGCTCCCTTGGGAAACGAGTGGGCCCTGGAGGAGCCCTCTCAGCCGGGGCGGGGGAGTGGGTGCAGAGGAATTCTGCTAGCTAATCTAAGATCGCCTTCATCCCGACCAGTCTCTACCACCGTATCTATCTGCTCAGACCTGGGGAGTAGGAACCTTGGGACCCGCACCAAGGAACGTACTGCGTGGGGGTGGGGATTCTGGGCTCCAGAACCGGGTGGGCGGACCGGATGGGATTTTTTTCTAATAGTGCGTCTGGAGGTGGCCTTAGGAAGGACAGGCAAGGTGTGGGAACACGGCCTCCTTTCCCTGTTGTGCCGACAGAAAAATGCTGGGGTCCCGGGTCCTCGCCTTTAACGCGGGCGGCGGCGGAGCAGGCGGGAGGGGGAGGGGTAGGCTCGGGCGGCGCATGCGCGGCGCAGGGGGAGCGGCCGGACTGTCCGGTGGCGGAGAGCCGAT